CACACACACACACACACACACACTCGACAGCGTCTCTCACGTTGAGCACACTCCGCTCTGATTGGCCGGTTTATTTCTCCGGTTTGTCTTGTCCTGAGCGATGTGTTTTTATTTTGAATTTCCAGGAGCTTATTTCAGTTGAATCACATCGACTGGAGGAGCTGTTTAGTTTGAAGCACTTTCACTGAAACCTCAACTTCTTATTATAAATCATATTTTATAAGAAACTAAAAACCTCATTGTGAAGTGTAACACTTCATGTTAAGACCTTCACACACACAGAGGGTATATATGTATATTCAGAACGTGACCTGATTGGACGGACTGACTGATCAGATGTACTCATTTTCATTTGGTTAACCAACTTTTTAAACCTGAAACAATTGAAATTGATCGACTCTCGTGTAGTTGTTAGTAAATAACGGACACTTTCATTTTATTATCTATCAGAATTAGAGGACGTTTTTTATTTCTCTTTCCTCCGCTGCCTCGGTCGTCCTCCGTCTCCTTTACCTTCCATATCTCATTGCACACGTTAAAGTGAAAAAGCTCCTCCTCCTCTTCAGGCGAGCTCGTGCTTCTCTCTCGTCATCTTGCATAATAAGTCGTAGCATCGGAGCTATTTTTAAAAAGGCAATTCTTAGTAAGCGAGCTGAATGGATTGGCCTCTTGGCTGTTGAACACGTGTCTAACCTGTGAGCTTTGAAAGGACGAGGGTGAGACAGAGCGACGATGAGGATCCGGTGAGAGACGACATGAGATATGAAGTCATTTCGTGGCATCGCTGGAGGAAGAGGATGTGTGTGAGTAGATCTATTATAATAATAATAATAAAGCACCACTAAGACCTTCCTTCAGGAAATCAAAACATCGACGTACTCGTACCACAACAAACTTGATCTCTGAGCAAGCTAGGTCAGATCCAGTAACTGAAATGTCAAAAACGCACATCAAGAACTGGTAAAAAGAAAAGAATCAAGGTTTGTGTAGATAGTTCCCCTCTCTGGTTCCTTTGTCTGGGGCCAGATGTTCCTCTGGAGAGACAGCAGAGAGGCAGACGCTGGAGCTTGTTTTAGAAGTGGAATACCTGCTGCTGGCCCTGGACTTTGGGGAAATCCTCTTTCTGCTTGCGGGCTTTGGGCCTCTCCAGGCTGCCTTGCTGGAGGTATTTGAGCCGGGCCGCGACGGTGGGGCCCTTCATCGGCCCCGGAGAGTGACTGCTGTTCTGTGGGGGGCGACAAGAGGGCGGGCGTTACTTTAATTTGACTTATTTAACGATGACAGATGTGTGCGGAAACTCAAACACTACACCCGTGTGTGTAAAGAGGTAGGGAGGTTTTAACTTTCAGCGCGAACACTCAACTTTAAAAACGTGTTTCCTGCCGAGGATCTGCTCGCGAGCTGCCTCTTCTGTGTAAAGCTAAACAACAGGCGGCAATGCTTCATGTGTTAAAGCTGCATTCTCTCTAGTGTCCACCAGGG